CAGACCTTGGACAGAAGTACGTCTGTCTGGACAGTCTGTGTCCAGATTTCCCACCATGAAGTGAGCTGGGTCCAGTGAGGGCAGAATGTAAAGCCTGACTGCCTGCTTCATTTCTGTATTTCTTTCAAAATACATACCCGTTTTCCCCACCCAGTGCTGATCCAGCGGTCAGCTTACTTGCATTCATTTACTTCTAGCTGTCCTCTCTGTGTTCATGATAAGCAACAGCATTCTAAACCCTGTATCCACCTTCGTCAAAAATTAACAAAAAGTAATGGAAGAATACAGAATGTGGAAATACGCAGAGCTCCACTTTCACAACATGTACAATATCAAGATTCACTCTGGAAAATAGAGATTTCTCCTCCAAGGTATCTAACAAGCCTAGACACCCCAGGCTCCCTGGCAAGCACAGGCCTAGGACTACCTCCAGCCTTACCTCCTCAACACAAGGAGAGGCCAGGCCTCCTCCACCTGCTTATACACCGGGGTCCCCCAGGCCCCCTCCCTCAGGTATCCAGAATGTGCCTCTGCATCACAGCTTTCCCAACTCCGTGAGGCATTTTATGAGTTCATCGCCGCCCCCCCCCGGCCCAATCCTTAATAAATGTTCTCTGTTGATGACCTACTTAGTCACAAGCCCTGTTTTCTGGTCCCTGGTTTTGACCAACAAATTTATTACCTAGCTAGCTTTCAAGTGAGACGCGTTTCTCAAACACACAGGCACACTTCTATCTGACTTATTCCCTCCTGCTGCTTAACCAGCATGTTGCCTGGAGCGGAACTACTTGGAAGCCAATAATATGATGTCTCTGCTTGGTGTCATATACTCTCATAGAGATTGTAAGGTACAACCATCTCATTTTACAAAGAAAGAAATGTGGTGACCTAACTTGGCCAGAGCAGCAAGCCAACTATACATTGAGCAAGACTCCTCTGAGGCCAGTGCATGTTCTTTCTGCACCAATTCCTCTTGACCCTTCCCAGAATGAAACCCTTCGAATCAGGAAAGAACATATATATCCCTTTGCTAGATCCCATATGATAGCAATCATTTCTGGGTGTACAATTTAGCATCCCCTTTACCCCACAGGAGATAACTCCTGATAAGAGACAGAGAAATCTGTAAGTAACAAAGAACATGCTGTCCATCAGCATAAGTCAAAAGCAAAGCTACCCACGAAAGAGCCATCCCAGCTGCATGAATAACACTTTCACAGTGATTCCTAAACAGACAGCCAAACCGTTTTGACTCCTCCTCTCAATCACTGACCCCCAAAGTTCGCCTAATAGTTACATCCACCACCACAATGAAGTAGTACATATACTGAAGGGCCTAGTCTTAGACAGGTATGGGGAAAATGGCTGCAAAACAACAGAAAGAAAAGAAAATGATACAAAAGTCATTTTTAAAAATTTCATCATTTATTTCTTGATTTCCACGGTAAAATGCATGCATAACTACTGCCTACTGAGGCTAAATGTAAGGAAAATTTTATGCTCAACAAGAATGGCTCCTTGTAAATATTGATTCTTGTAAATATTCAGATGTGGTCAACCTAAAAAGCTATCAGAAACACATCAGGGGCGCCTGGGTGGCTCAGTCATGATCTCAGGGTCCTGGGATTGAGCCCTCCTGCATCGGACTCCTCGCTCAGCGGGGAGTCTGCTTCTCCCTCTGCCTGCCTCTCTGCCTACTCGTGATCTCTATCAAATAAATCAATAAGATCTTAAAAAAACAAAACAAAACACATCAACTGTTCCCCATTTCACCTAAGTCCACCCATAGTAAACGCCCTTACAGGTACCTGTGTGTGGGTATACAGCTATTTTGTTTCTTAATGACACCTAGCCCCTGACCTTGAGTAGCCCAGGCAATAATTTTGTTCCAGGACAGAGTCAGAATCTGATCTTACGATTATGATTAGACAGACTATAAGCTTCGCAGAGTTGGCAACTCCCTATTGCCCTTCATATCACCAGCACTTTCATATCAGTGCCTAACTGATTGCCTCGTGTTTATTGACAACTGGAATAATACAGAAACCAAACCCCTAAGTCTATTTCAACAGCTCTGAATGGCTCTCAAGTTCTTTTTGACACTTTTGCCTTTAAAAAAAAAAAAAAGATTCTGGGGGCGCCTGGGTAGCTCAGTCAGTCGAGCATCTGACTCTTGGTTTCAGCTCAGGTCATGATCTCATGGTTGTGGGATCAAGCCCGGCGGCCGGCTCTGTGCTCAGCGCAGTCTGCTTGGGCTTCTCTCTCCCTCTCCCTCTGCCCTTCCCCTGCTTGATGCTCTCTCTCTAAAATGAAAGAAAAAATCTTAAAAAAAAAATAAATAAATAAAAGATTCTGGGGGCACCTGGATGGCTCCAGTCAGTTGAGCGTCCGACTCTTGATTTCAGCTCAGGTCATAATCTCAGGGTCCTGGGATCGAGCCCTGCATGAGGCTCCCCCACTCAGTGGGGAATCTGCTTGAGGATTTTCTCTCCCTCTCCTTCCACCCCTTCCCCTGCTCACGTACATGCACACTCTCTAAAATAAATAATCTTTAAAAAAAAAAAAAAGATTCTGTTATCAGAAATTATTTGCTCACTCCTTAGTCTTTCAAATGAATGAATATGCCTCTTGGTCAAGGGAAATCTCTTTAAGTTCTCAAACTTTCCCCACTGTTCTTTCTTAAAATGATTAAGAGGTATCCTAAATAGGAAAATGACATTGCATTTGAAGAACTACAGAAGCGCTGAAACGTGAGCCTGTGAGTTAGACTGCTATAAAGCAGGGTTTCTCAACCCTGGCACTAGTGACATTTTGGGCCAGACAACTCTTTGTTGTGGAGGGCTATGCTGTGCACCATCCACAGCCTCCACCCACTAGATGCCAGCCAGCAGCCCTCCCTCTCAGGTGAGAACCAAAATCACCTGCAGGCATTGTCAAATGTCCCCACGGTGAGAACTACCACTCTAAACTTACAAAAGGGGGCACCTGGGTGGCTCCGTTGGTTACGCGTCTGCCTTCGGCTCAGGTCATAATCTCGGGGCCCTCGGATGGTGACGCGCATCAGGCTCCCTGCTCAGCGGTGAGTCTGCTTCTCCCTCTCCCTCTATGATCGCTCTCACTCTCACTCCATCTCAAATAAATACATTTAAAAATCTTAAAAAAAAAAAAAAAAGAAAAGAAAAGAAAGCAAAACTCACAAAGCCTTGCCCCGAATCCTGCCTCTGCCCTCTTCCCTACTTGTGACCTGGGAAACAGACCTAACCTTCCTATGTCCCCAGCAAATTCCTCACGAGTAAAATGGAGCTAATACCAGAGAACTGTTGTGAGAATTAAATGAAATGATGTATGAACAGGATTTATATGCACATAACATCCAGTGCCAGAGTGACTGCCCAAGAACTGGTAAGAAATGAGGGGAGGCTAAAAATTAACTTCTAGAACCAAAGAAACTTAGCTTCAGGCCTCCAGAGTACTGTAGTCTACACGGAAGGAGTGGTAAGGACAGGAAGAAACGAAAAGACACCAGAGGATGGAAAGGAGGAAGAGCACTAAGGTATTTCCCCAACGTCCAAGACAGTCAACTAAAACTAAGATGTTCTTAGTTTTCGTTGGTCTACTATAACCTCACAAACGATAAACCAAAAACATCCCCAAATCAGAAAACTCTCCAAAATAAGTCACCAAACCAGAAACTTTTTAGTATAAGCAAGAGGAATTTAACTACAACAACTACACAAAAATACTGAAAGCACCCGGATCACACCATCGTCTTAGATTTGGGGATCTAAGTAAGATACTGAGAGTTATGGACAAGTAGTGCTTATAATTTCGACATAAGCTCCTGAAAGAGAAACTAAGCACAGCCTTCCTAAAAGGCTGGGGAAAAAAAATCCGAAGAGTTCTGGGTTTCCTTCATCTCTCTAGTTTTGCTCCACGAACCAGTTTCTGAGATTACAGGCAGTTTAGGGATTTTCCAGTACAGTGGTATCAGAAAGACAAACATGTAAAAATTTTTCTTTAATTTTAAAAAAGCAATCAAATTCTACTGGTTTTATCAGGTTGCTGAAATCTTATAAAAAGACTGTGATCACATGACATTTTGGAAACCAGCAGAAAAGTCATTCCTCAAAAGAACCACGGTCACGGGATGTATCATCACTTAAAAAGAAAAACAACAACAAAAAGACAACTAACACCGCCACAGCTATTTGGTCAGCACTTTAAACTCTCACCTTGCCTCTTGACGAACTAAGTTGGAAGAAAGGAACACGATTCTGAAACCTGAGCCAGAGTCTCACTCAGATAATGCCCCAAACTGCCGCCAGCCCCTAGAATTGGCTGCACACTCCAAACTCCTTAACCGAGTGGTCACTAACACGTTGGCAAACGTTCACCCGGGCAGCCTGACAGAGGTCGCCCAAATCAAACCCTGTGACCGCCTTTGCTTCCTCTCCGTTAATCATTCGGGGGTATGGTTTGGTCCGGGCGGGCTGGGGCGTGGGGATGTGTGTGTGTCCCCGAATGGTTGGGGGTAAGGGCTGTTGTACCTGTGCGTCCCCGACGGACTGCGTGTCTTTGTGTGTGTTTCCCGCGGGGTCGTGTACCTCCCCCCCCCCACTCCCCGAGAACGCACGTACGTGTCGCTCTCCCCCGGCGCTGGAGTCTGTGTGCGCCCCAGGTGTTTGTGGATCTCTCTTTCCCCGGGTGTTTGCGTGTGTCTTCCAGATGTCTGGCGTCCCTCCATGTGTCCCCGCGTGTCTGGGTGTGTGTCCCTCTCCTCGGGTTATGTGGCTGTGGGAACTCGTCTTTTCTCCTGCGTCAGTCAGTAGGAGTCAGGAGGCAACAAGCCGTCCCCCGTCCCGAGACGGACGACTGCCCCGCGGCCCCGCGCAGCCCCCGCCCCGGCTGCCGCAGGGCCAGGCCGCACTCGGGGCCCACGAGCCCCCCCAGACCCCGACGCTGGCGCGCCCGGCCCCGAGGGGCGTCCGCGCTCCACTCACCTCGTGGCCACACAGAGGACGCCCGGGAGCTCGCGGGCTGGCCGGTCCAGCTCCTCTCCGAGGAGACTAGGTCGGGGCGCCGCGGGCAGGAGCGCGTCGCGCTGCGGGGGTCCAGCTCCAGCTACTCACGTCCAGCGCCCAGGGAACAACATGGCGGCGGGCCGGGGCGGGGCCCGCGGAGGCGGGGCCTCGAGGCCGCGGTACGGCCCGCCCTCACCGTCTCTCCCGGACGCCTGTCCTCTCGCCCGACCGCCGTTTTTCCCGGGGTCGGCTACTCCTCGTGTCCTCAGCTGCGTTCCGGCGAGAGGGAGCACGAAATAATAGCTATCTTTAAAAGTTCACCTAAAGTGGAAATAAACAGATCGCATCAGCACAATCACAGGTTTTTGTGATTTCCATAAGAAAACGAATATGCAAATGGTAGATGAAAAATGGAAACAGCTGTGATATTGTGGCATCACAGGAATTTTTATAAAAGTAAATGTAAACCTTTTCCGTCATCTTGTTAAAATACCGCCTCTGTTATCTCTAAATATAAAGCAGTAGTGGAGAAAGACTGCTGGAAAACCTCTTCTTAATTCCTCACTTCAATATATGGAGTTGAGCGCATGGTTCTTACGACACAGGTTCCGGGAGGGACTTTGACCTCTCACTATATTTTGTGGGGTAGATTTAGTTTGTTTGTATTGCAAGAGGAGGACCTCACTTTCATGATTTGCTGGGCTCACAATCATTAAATAACCTCCGGCTCTTTAGGGAGTCATTTTCAGGTAAAGAATCTAATGTTGTCTTTTCATTCAGCACTAGAAAAAGTGTATTTTAGTAGAGTTTCTCACAAGTATTAAAGACAATTTTAGAATACTTATGACAATGAGGCCTGTAATAAAGACTGAGTTCTAGTTTGAGCTTAAATGAATTTTTCTTTTATAAAGAAATCTATTTTTTATCCATGTAGGGTATTTCCCCCCAAGGAAATATGAGCAAAGGTTTATAAAATATAAATCTATTGAAAATAGGGAGGGGAAAGATATTATCTTATTTTAAAATACAAAATAATTAAAACCACACAATAAAACATATAAGAACATTAGAATTAATTTTCCCAAAGAAGAACTATATAGTGTCATGTACGGTGAACTAAGTTGCAACAAGCAACCCACAGGATCACTAAGGAAAGGCTGCCTGAAAACTGTATATCATAATCATAGTCAGAGAGTGATGCACTTTATCTTCCGCAACTGCTAATACCAAGCAGCTATTAACAAGAGCTCCTACGGAATTATTGTATCTTGATTTAAAGTAAGCCTTGAGAAAAAAATAAAAATAAAAAAATAATAAATAATAAAAAAAAAATTTTAAAGGGGCACCTGGGTGGCTCAGTCGGTTAAGCATCTGCCTTTGGCTCAGGTCATGATCCCGGGGTCCTGGGATCCAGCCCTGAGTCTCGTGGGCTCCCTGCTCAGCAGGGAGCCTGCTTCTCCCTCTCCCTCCGCCCCTCCGCCTGACTCGTGTTCTTTCTCCCTGGCTCTGCTCCCTCGGTCAAATTAAAAAAAAAAAAAAATCTTAAAGTAAGCCTTGGGAAATCCAAGAGTTTTCCAAAAAAGGGTTCTAAGAAGGTCCTACAAGTGATTCTTAGGCTGTTCCAAAATGTAAGCGAGGCATATAAACATCTGAGTATAGATTATCATCAGCACCTGAAGAAAGAATAAGGAGTTACTTTTTCTGAAATAACTATTACTGAGACACTATACAACTGACACTTAAGAATATCCATATATTCAGGTATACATTCCTTTCTTTGCCTAACTGATTTGACAGTGCAAGAATAGAGTGGGTCAAAAAATTTTCCCTGAAGGGCAAGTTTGGGGGATTTTTGTTGTCGGATGTGTGTGGTTGGCAAGCTGACACAAGTTAGATGGTCTCTGTCTCTCTTGCTCCATGATCTTGCTTACTGACGAAAAACATTTAAAAATTGACCTCATTTGACTCACTTCATCTAATTAAGATCTTTATATTCTGTAAACATCCATTGCATCACTCATGGAGGAAAAAGAGGTCAAGGTTGCTAAGCATTAATGTTTTCTTTCATTAAATGACACCTACTTATTACTGTGAGCCCTGGGAGTTAATACTCCATTTCCAGCTGGAGTCTGAAAGATATCATCTCTGGTATCTCTGATGAAAAATTACAAATAAGTGGGCCCCAGACTCAGGTATCATAAATACTGATCTAGTTAAATTGATTATACTTTTCACATACAAGGAAAAACATAGAACTCAATGGTAGGCAACTTGACCATTAAATGACATATCTAAATAATCAGAAATTTGATAATTTCCCTAAATCATTGACCAAAATAAGAGATTTGTTCTCAATATTACATAGATGTACTCGCACAGCTGTACTGAGGGAGAAAAGCATAAAAAGTAATTCGAAATCCATTATATTTGGCTTTAAAGTCAGAGTGAAAATATGTAACAACATACAATAAGTGAAAAAGAACGTTATCAATAGTGTATGAAGGCAAAAAATCCCAGTTCGGTGGAGGAAACCTTTTTTTCTAAGATTTTATGTATTTGAGAGAGAGCAGGTGAGAGAGAGAGAGAGAGAGAGAGCGGGATCTGAGGGGGAGGGGCAGAGGAAGAGGGAGAAGCCGATTCCCTGCTGAGCAGGGAGCTTGATGCAGGACTCAATCCCAGGACCCTGGGATCATGACCTGAGCTGAAGGCAGACGCTTAACTGACTGAGCCACCCAGGTGCCCCAGAAACATTTCTTATATAAATAAATACTGAATAATTTTCAATATTGAATAAATAAATATTCAATAAATATTGAAATATTTCAATAAATATTAATATTTATCTATATTTATCTATAGTATATATTTATTCATTTATTTAATTCATATATTCCTTTATATATTCATATATTTATATAATATATACATTTTCAGTATTTCAAACAATGTCACACCCTTCCAGTTTGGCTAGAAACTAAATTCAGCATGTTTCCTACACTAATACTAACTTTTCATCCTGATCCTGAAGTCAGATAAAATTTCAATATGAGAAAATATCAGAAATCTGATTTCTTCACTCCTTAGCTTAAAAAGGAGTAGTGAATCAAAAAATGAATAGGAGCATCATCCTTAATCTATATATCGCCAGTAAGAAAATTTCAGGATTTGCGATCTTCAGGTTGATACAATCAAATGGAAAGTCTGACTTGCCACCATGATAGAACATATATTCTTTCATGGGTCCCATGAGCTCTGCACAGTGGCTGATGTTGAATGGCTACCTGGGAATCAAAAGCCACCGACACGCTTCCTCCGCCAGCCTGCCCACTGTCAGAAGAGAGGGGGCATGGGAGTCAGAAGCCACTGCAACTGGCACTTCCCAAGTTTGCGGGTAACCACCACACCAGCCCAAACCCTTCCAATGCCTGTAGTATAGAAACACATCTACCCTCTTCCCTTGGGTGGTTTTAAGATTTTTCAGGAAATGAAAAGTCATTTCATGTTAATATTTATTCAACAAATATATAGTGAGTGCCCACACTGTGCCAGGTACTGCGAATACAGTGGTAGACAAGATGCAGGAGAAATTCAAGGGGTGTCCCCAAGCACCCTCCCTGAATTTTTGCTCCCATCTACCAACTGTGTTTATATCATATGATCTTACCTTGGTGAATAAAATAGATTCAATCCCTTTCTCAGGACAGCCCAGAAGAGTGAGGGAGACATTCAGTAAGCAACTAAACACACAGTGCAGTTACAAATTGGATTAAGGGCCTTGAAGGAAATAAACAAGGTGCAGTCTGTGGGAGTACAGGGGGATGGTACCACAGTAGGCATGAATCAGGGGACTTATGCTGAGCCCTCAAGATGAGCAAGCAGCAGTGGGAAGAGCTGTGGGGGGGGGGGGGGCGGTACCAGTTGAGAAAACAGCAGTTCACTAAGAACCTAGCACATAGTAGCACTCAAAAAAATTCTAAATAAAGATGCAAACTTTTAGAAAGATTTAGAAAATCTTCATAATTGATGGAAAAACCAAAATTATGATTGTTTCTTCAGCCATAACTAGCTCTAATGTATTCTCTTAAAAATATTAAGTGCATTTTGAAGAGTGATGCTCTTTCCCTACCACACTCTAAACATAGCTTAACTCAGGTAATTACAGATGGCAGAATGGAACAGGCATTACAATTCAGGAATGAAGTGAGGAATCTGATCCCTTTGCTGACTTCCTAATGAATGTGAGTCATAAACTGAACTTCACCTTTAGAGGCAGTAGAAGGAAAATTCCAGGCACACCATGGTTACATTATATAAAAAGTATATTTGTGTGTGTGTGTGTGTGTGTGTGTGTGTGTGTGTGTTTGTGGGTGTTTCTGCATAAGAGTTTTTATTTAAAAGAGAATGGAAAGCAGCAAGGAAAATCAAAATAGTTGAATTGTTAGGGCAGCAGGATTCTGGGGAATTTTTATTTGAAATTTGAATTCCATGTTATAGTATTTTTTTTTGAGCAATAAGTAGAAATTTTTTAACAAAGGAATTTTAAGCACCCTACTTTCTATGGCATCCAAATGTCATCTTTGCCTTAGGCTATAGTAGTTAGGGAAGACAAAAATTCAGTTATCTTAGCCACTTTTTCTTTTAAACAGAAGCCCTCCGAAATCCACAGACACATCCAAAACTTCATATTGCTCTTAGAACTCAGGACAGGAATGTGAGTGCTCCTCTTCCCACCTCCCCATTGCCATATGTCTCAGTACCCAATGCCCACCAGCAGCTTTCTTGACCCTTTTGGTTTAAAACCTGAGACCACTATTGCCCTCACATAACCAACTTCTCATCCTCTCATGTCCTCTCCCCATGGCCATCCCAGTAGCCATAATAATCCAAGCTTGTGCGAGCTCCTGGCCATAGCTGTAGCCAGGCTCAGCCTAAACCCAACCTCTGATTGGATTAAAGTGATAGCTCTCTCACCCTATCTGCCTAATAGAGGACAGAGGGAACCCTCAGTGGTGGAAGATACCATCTAGAGCATTTATGTTGCATTTACACACAATGTCCGGCATTCAACAAAAAATACTGACATGCAAAGAGGCAGCAAAAAGTGAATAATAATCAAGAGAAAAGAAGACAATATAATTTAATGTCTTGACAATGTGGGTGTATCTCAGGGATGCAAGGATAGTTTAACATTAACAGCTCAGGGGCACCTGGGTGGCTCGGTTAAGGGTCTGACTCTTGATTTCGGTGCAGATCCTGACCTCATGGTTGTGAGATTGAGCCCTGCTTCAGTTCTGTACTGGGTGTGGAGCCTGCTTAAGATT